AAAATTTTTTAATATTCACCCCCCCAATTTACTGTATATTATATAGTATTTTGTATAATAAAAATTTTAATTAAAGGTGGACAAATCAGCCCATATGATAAGGGCAGTGATATTTATTACGTAATATTCATTTACTATAAGCTTATACCCACCCACCCCCATGTAATATGAAAAATCTTACATTACACTTATATGTTATATAACTTTCAAATACCCTTCCACTCCCTAAAATATTATGTAATAAATGTCACTCCCCTAAGTTTAACTATATAATATAATGTTAGAAAGAATAGTAGAATTTTGTTTTAAAATTTTTACAATAATATTATATATTTACTAAATCTAAAAGTTTTACCTATAACCTTATTTAAACTACTCATAGTAAATAAATTATTAGTAAATTTTTTTATTTTAAAGTAATTAATTATATATAATTAAATTTAAATACTGAATTTTCAAAAGTTAGTTTTAAAAATGTTTTTTTAATATTTTGACTTTGATACTAAAATCCTAAAAGTAAATTATAGTTTTAGCATAAAATTTTTCAAATTTTAAAATAAAATTTTAAGTTATAGATGGTAGATTGAAAATAAAAGAAAAAAATATATTAAGATAAAATTAATAATATATAGAATTTTAATTAGATCAGGTTTAGTAAAATTTAAATAAAGTAAATTTGAAGATAATTTTTTTTTTTTAAAAAAAAAAAAAAATTAGGTCAAATTAATTGATAAATCTGATCTGAATTTTTTTTAAATTAGGTTAGATTAATTTGAAATCTGAAAAAAAGTTTAAGTTAATTTGAATCTATTTAAATTAATCTATAATTTAAATATTTTCAAATTAATTTAAAAAATTTTTTATATAAGAATATTTACTAATAATTTTTAACTTCTCTTTTTATAGATTTTAAATCAAAATTTGGAATTTAAGATGAATAAGTGTTTTTAAAAGGAAGTGGACTGGAATTTTTTTATATAAAAATATTTACTAATATTTTTTAACTTCATTTTTTTGTAAACTTTAAACTTAAATTTGAAACCAGAATTTAATATTATAGTAAAAATAAACTTTTAATAAAAAGTTATATAAATTTATATATATTAAATAATACATTTTATTAAAATATAATATATCTATTATAGTAATGTAACAAATTACATTATATCTTTAAAAATAATTATAGTTATATTAATTCAGATTTCTAAATTTATAATTTATAACTTGTAATATGGCAGATTTTTATTAAACATAATATTAAAACTGCAATATTTTTTCTCTACTTTATTAAAATTAGTTTTAGATTAATAGGTTATTTAAGATATATCATTGTTATTTTTATATTATTATAAAACCACAAATCACAAAATTATAAAAACTGAAAATATCTGAATGGAATTATGAAATTTGCTATCATCTGGTTTATCGGTAATCATTCAACCAATTGAAAGAAGTTAAAAGGTTAAAAAACAATAATATTATAAACTCATAACATAGTCATACAAATAACGTCTTGGATTTTTATCAAAAAAAACTTTAATGCAGAAAAAATAATTAAAAATCATTATTTTTGATTTATATTAAATTAAAAATTATTAATAAGAATTTTGGATGGTTTTTAGCTAAATAAATCTCTAATATAAATACTTTATAATTTTTAAATATAATTAATATAACTTAGTATTATTAAATTTAATTTAATACTATATATAATTTTTTTAACTTATTTATCTATTTTAATTTTAATTAGTAACAATAATTAATTGTTACTACTAATAATTTAATAATATCATATTTGAAAAAAAATATAAAAATTATTAGTAATTTAAATTTTTTTTAAACAGTTCTTTATTTTTTTATAATATACTATTATGTAATAATATATAGTTATAATAATAAAAACTTTTTATATATATTTTTTGTTATTTCTATTATATGAACTTTTTCTATAAATTATATGAGGTTTTTAGAATAATAAAATTAAATTGGAATTTTGTATTTTAAAAAAAATTTTTGGAAATTATTAATAATCTTTGACTTTATGATTTTTTTTAATCACTTTGTTAATAATTTACTAATAATATATGTTAATTATAAACATTTTTTTATTGTTTATTTTAAATATTAAAGGAGGAGTTAATAAAATACTACAGTTTAGTGGAAATAAAGAAAGTAAAGTCTTTTTGTATATATATATATATTTTTTGTTATATAAACTTTTCTATAAATTATATAAATTATATAATAAAAATTGACAATATTGAGTTCAGATGGATTTTTTTTCAGGATTTGATAAAATTTTGGTCATATTTTGGATATGTTTTGGATATAATATTAAAGGCTGTTCAAAATCTCTAAAATTCTAAAATTGACAGTTTTGGATAAACTTCCCAATACTGTTAGCAAAATATATAAATATATTAATTTTAGATATCTGATGTTATATAATTATAGTAAAATATATTTTTCTGAATTTTTAAAAATTATTATATTATTTTTTTTTTTACATTAGTACATTTGACTTTTTTTATTCAATATGAATTAATTTTTATAGTTAAATACTTTCAGATATTTTTCAAAGTAAATAAAGATTTCTTTAAATGTTTGCATTTCAGTATAATAAATACTTTTGTAAAGTTGAAGACTTTATTTTAAAATATTGCACAGATAAAGTATTCATAAATACAACAAATATATATGTGTAATATATTTGATAGACTCTCAATTTCGGAGTATAATAATGAAAAACAAATCTTGTATTATTGTAAACCAAAATGAGATAATGATACAATTTTTTCATTTTTAACTTTTAAGAGACATAATTGGAATCATTTCATCTTATTTATCTTACAATTATCCAAATAATTACTCCATATATAGTGCACGCTAAAATACATATATGTTAATGCCTTAAAATGATGACCATAATTTCGGGCAAATTTTAGTGCAAATCATTTACTAAAGATATAAATTGTAATAATCTTTTTTTTAAAAAAAACAGTTTTTTTAAAATAAACAAACAAATAAAACTCCACACAATCCCAATTTTCAACGGCTGATAATAATTTTTAATTCCAAATAAAAATGATAAAATGCCACGTTTTTTTCATCTAACATGTAATTAATTAGAGTTTAAAAGACGCGTTTTTGATTTCCTTTTCTATCTAAACCGTTAATCATTTGTTTATTTCTAATATTTTAGTGTAAAAAAACTTTTTTTTTTTTTTTTTTTTTTTTTAAGTTAATCTTGATCTAATAACGCAATTACGCATTGACAATTCTTATTGACAGATTCGATATCGACAGTTCGCATTGACAGCGTTGACGGCATTTGACATTACGACAAAAAAAGTAAACAAAAAAAAAACTATAAATAGATTAATTAGGGTTTTTGAATATTAAAGTTTTGATTTAATAGAAATAATGAAGTTTTATTAAGTTAAAGATCTATAAAATACAGAAATGTTTTGGTTTGTAAGAAATTTTTTTTGGCAATAATTTCTCGATATATTAATATATTATATAATTATATACCGAAGTTGGACATACCTATTTACCGTTAACCGCCTTTTTAAAAATATTTTCATAAAAAGAATATGGAACCTTATTTATGTATTTCGATATGACAAAGTTTTCTTCCATATACCGAAGATTTAACCCTAAACGGTGAGTAACTTTTAGTGTAAATGAGAATTTAACTGTTATGCATACATTCTCAAAAAAGGGATAATCTTTGTATGACAAGAAAGAAAAAAAAAATTATACTTGTTTTTTTAATATTCTTTCTCTAACTCATCTAAGGGTATATTATACTTTCGACAAACTTTTTTTCTTTTTTTTTCTTTTTTTTTCAATTTCCAAGAATTTTTTATCAACATCTCATCTAATATTGCTTATAATTATTTACTAATCACGTGAGAAACATTTCCAGGAATTCCAGGAATACCTGAATTTAACCAGTTTCAAAATCCGGAATAGTCTATTATAGTCTAAAATAGTATGAAAATAATGACGAAATGAGAAAAAAAAAAAAAAAAAGTACGCATTGATAAAATTCTGTACACACATTCAAAATTCACGTGATGGTTTTACAAATTACTTGAAATAACCGGAATTAAACAAGTTTATTACTTGATTCCAAGAATTCCAAATTAAACCAAACTCAATTTTCTTGTGCAACTCATTATTACACTATTTTATTTATTATCAAACAAAAGATCATGAAAAAAAAAACTAGTTATTAAAAAATTCTAGTTGATATCAAGTAAATCAAGTTTTTTACATGGTACAAATTATTTATTTTTAGCAAATATTTTTCAAAAATGTATAAATTACTTTTTCTCCGATAAAAACTTTGATAAAAATAAATATAAAAAACTTTTTTAACAGTTTCTCAAAGAAAAATTTTCTTTGTGAATAGAAAAAAAAATATATATATATATATAAATAAGTACATATTTTTTTTTTAAAATAAAAACAAGATAATCTAAAATTAAAAAAAGAATATCTTCTATCATATCTTATCGTTTACCGATTATTTTTTCTCAATCCCCAAAATTGCTATACCACTTAATCGAAAAGTAGTTTCCATAAAAAGGGTGTGTAACGTGTCAGGAGATGAATATTTGTATGCAAGCTCGTTGGTGTCCGTGTGAAATAAAGTTACTATCAATAATAGCTTACATACTATTTACATGTTTCTCAGAGAATCATTACCAAAAAAATATCAAGTTCTGTTTAAAAAAAATCCGTCAAAAAGTATAGTCGGTTAATACCATCATCGATTATAGTAAAAAACAGCATGTCTAAAGTTTATCGTAAAATGACGTTTATCAGAAAAAAAAAGTTTATAAAAAGTATTTTAAAAAAAGTTGGTTTATAATCAATCTGTTTGTTTTATCCTTTTATTTTCTCGTTTCAGTTTTTAATATAAACAAGAGATTCATTCAAGTCATTATAACATTTGCGTCAAAAAAAATGCCACGAGCGATGATCCTCACTGATTATCGTTAACCTGTGAAAATATTCGTAAAAATTGATATCAAAAAATTTAAATAACCGAAACAAAGAAGATAACAACAGATAATAATAATAATAATAATAATAAAAATAATAAAAGATTATAATTATCAAACATATCAAACATACAAAGTATCTCAGTATCAGAACAATAAAGATAGAAGAAAGTAAAGAATGAAAATGTACTTGCAATTGACACAAAAATACTGTCATCGTCGCTCGCAGCTCTGCCCATACCAATCTTGTTTAATAAAAGGATTTGCTCTTATCCGCGTACAAAACGTACAAAAAAAAAAATCTTTGTTTTGATCACAATTGTTTTTTTTATTAAATGATCAATCAGAGCCGCTAAACCTTTTCACTCTTTATTTTTTTTTAAAATCAACACGTGAATTCGTTTCTTTTCTCCTCATTTTATATAATATTCGTACAACGATCTTTTTATATTGCTTTTTTTAAACGTTTCACCCTTTTTTTTTATGTGTATCGTAGTAAAAAAAATGAAATCATGTGTTACCGCATTATTTTAAATATTTCCTTATTGTTCAATCCTGTGTCACTTTGAATCATTAGTCATTACGGAGTTCTTCTCATTTATTTTACCGAATTATATAGTGATTACAATCGTCATATATGAAAATGAAATGTATCATCAAAATTTATTATAAATTGCCCAACGTTACAATTGTTACAACTAAAAAATTTCTGTCCTACTTTAAACAATACATTATATTATCCTTTTCTTTATCACAAATATCTCTTGATTTGTCTATTACGAATTTACCCGTACCACCAAAAGTAATTGAAACAACATCCGAATAAACTTGTTTAAATTCAAGTAGGCGGGTTTTTTTTTAAAAAAAAATTTAACACAAGAAAAAATTAAAGTTACAAATTGGAAAAGACTTGGGTTACAATTATAAAAACTCCACATTATTAACCTTTTTCCCCCACCTTTTTTTTAACAAAAAGAAAAAAAAAAAGAATATTTTTTTTTTTGAACAATAAATAAATAAAATCGACAGCACATTAAAACTTCTCACCCCCTGGAAACAAACATCCTTTTTTTTTTTAAAAAAAAAACTTTTTGACAGCATTTTATTAATTGTTAATAATCGGTTCGATAAAAAAAAAAAAAATTTCTTTAGATTATTAGAGATTATTTATTTAAATATATAGAACCAACACTTTTCGATAAATATAATAATAATAATATAATTCAGAATATATATATTTATATACACAATTGTTATTTCTTTCCCTATTTCCGTTTCTTGACAAAAAAAAACAAAAAACGATAATCCCCTTCCCCCTAAATTTATAGTTAACTGTAAGAGAAAATGGAAAAGTCAAACAAAGATAAAACTTATTCAAAAAACAATAATCTTAAAGAACACCAAAAGATGGAAAAGGTTCGTATTTATTTTTTTTCTTAAAGGGAAATTGTAAACAATACTTTGATTTAATATAAAATTGTATATAAATTAATTTAAAATTTTTTTTTTTTTTTTTATTTATTTATCATTTTCCCAAACAACCCTTATTATTTTTCTCCATACTTTCTTTGTGAAATTCGATTCATTTGACGATCTGATTTTTCTCCGGTTCGAATTTTAAATCATCCTTCTCGTCCTTCTTTTTACCTGGCAGTCTTCTTCTGAACCATTAGAAAAACAGAAAAAAAATAGTCGTTCTCATAAACGAAAACCTGATTCAGAACGTGATAAACAAAAAGCAGAATTAGAACGGTCAGGGGTAAATATAAAATTATTATATATTGAATAGTAATTTCTTTATTTTATTTTTATTTATTTATTTATTTATTTATTTATTTTTAAATTAGAATGAATTGAAAAAACTTTTAGCGCAATTTGGAACAAAGGCTAAAGAAGCCGACGACATAGACAGAGATACTTCGGAACTTCGGGACAACATTTTTGAATTAATGACAAAAGCAAAATCAAAAACATTTAACAATCCAAAGGTACAGTATCCATATATGTATATATATATATAATATGTTTTTGTGTAAATTTCGAAAATTTGAATTTTAACAAAATTTTTTTAATAATAATAGTCAAGGCACGGTGCTGCGCCACATCAACATGAATCCACTACCAGTTCAACATCATTAACGAGTTTATTTTCTAATATATGGAATAATCTAATGTCACTTATTGCATTGATTGTACGCCCTATTCAAGTATTATACCAATCTTATGAAAGATTATACTGCAGCATTAATTGGTATTTATTTTTGACTTGCATTTTGGTACTTGAATTATCAATTATTGGTCTCATTTGGAAGTAAGTATAATAAATTTAAAAGAATGAAAGTTTTCACTTCTTTTTATCAACCAAATTTTTTCTTACCCTCTTTCTTTATTTGTTTCTAGGTTTAAACGGGCACAATATACTTATGTGTACATTGAACCTTATGAAGCAGTTGTACATGGTACATATGGCGTAGAAACAACTTCTTGGACATATTTAAGTTCTATAATGGATAATATGTTTGACTTTTTTAGTGAAATGAAACATGGTGGTCGTAGTTTCAGTAGTCCAAATTATGATGGTTTAGTACCAATATAATTGGTATTTTGTTATGTGTCGTAGAATTTGTTAGATGTTTCGGATTTTTACTTGTTTATTTGTTTATTTTGTTTATTTTTCCCCTCCCCTTTTTTAAATTTCACTTGTTTTTATTTCCCTTCCTCTTTTGTACTTTTTTTTTTTTTTATTTTATTTTTTTACATCTGTATATATTTCAGTTCTTTAATTGCATGTACTTTTAAAGTTTTCTTAATTTCTCATCCTACACGTATACATATTTACAACATTACCACTTTCAAAAAAATCTTTCCCTCTTCAAAGAAAAAAAAATTGCATTCAAATAAAAATTTTTCTTAAATGACCGTCATCAAAAAAAAAAAAAAGAAACATGAATCACGTGAATTGTACAACATATTACCAGCGCGTACTGACTCTGTGAAATAAAAAAAAAATTTGTAAAAACAAGCGCATCACATAAAATTTAACAATTTATTTGAAAACTCAAATTATTACTGCTTTGCATTTAACTAAAAAAAATGATGAAATGATGAATAGCCAAATAACGAAACTTCAAATCACTGGCGGACGTCCTTAGGAAAATCCACTCACAAGTACATATATACTCTTCATTTCCTCTCCCCCTCAAAAATATAACCCTAACCCTCAACTTATACATAATGAATTTGTACAGTATCCTATACTACTACCTACCGAACTTGAATCGAACCACATATCAAGACAACTTAATATCTTCTTCTATAATCTCTTGCGTACCATTAATTCCTTTCCAACGCGCATTTATCTTTACTTTTGTGAATTTGAGATTATGCCATATATGTATAGTATTAAGACCTGCTGCCTCTTGCTCTTTTGTAGGCCAATGAGGACATTTGTTGGTTAAGTCCTGGCAAGTGAAATGGATTACCCAAATATCACGAACGTCGAATTCTGGTTTAAGTGAGTGTGCATAGGTTAGGGTCTGGTCGAAATATTCATTTATTTCTTTCGAAGTTTTTGTAGCTGCGATTCCAATTACCGCTGTTGGTCTCTCAGGTGCCGTTATCACCAAATTATAACCATGATTTTGGCTTATGACATTCCACTTTTCAAGCCAATTTGTTAGGATAATGGATAGCTCTTGTTGGTATAAATTCTCATGAGGAACTAATACATTACTTTGGCTTTCAACGGTCACTTGTGCTACCTTGTTATTAGAAAAAGCTGTTGATCTTATATAATTTTTGTCAAGAGTGTTAATAGCTTCCTTTAAAAGTCTGAAAATATCAATTGATCCGTTATCATGAAGTGGAGGGTTTTTTAAAGGACAATTCTTAAAGACATTAGGCATTATATACTGCAAAATAAAGGAATGTATTATAGGAGATGATATCACAAAACGCTCATTTTCAGCTCTTAAAATTCCTTCATTAATAAAAAATTTAAAAAATTTTAAAATTTTCATATCTTTATCTTTAAAGGAATATGGACCTGAATTGGAAAGGACTTGTGATCGTAAATAATACATAGCATTTCTTGTATCCTCATTTTGTTCCAATAACGTATTTTTCAATCTTTCAAAAATTGGAAAATTCTGAATATCCGAATATAATGATTTAATAATATAATTTTGCCAAGTTGTAAAATCTAGATTTCCATCAATTTTATAAATTAAAATTTCAGCAATTAAATGTCCATAAAGTCCAACCATACCAGGATGTCTATTAAAATAATATTTTATGTTATTATTAATATTAATAAATTTTTATGTAATGACAAAGTAATTTAAAATATATTTACCCATTTGTTTGTAAATAAATATCATCAATTACTTTTTTATCAATCGTAATTGATTTTTCCTGTGTAAAATCATTGAAAAGAGCCTCAATTTGTTGTTTACTAAATTTTGGATTATTAAAAGATTCTCTAACACTAAAAGGTGATATACGCATGTTTGATGTCCTTAAATATTGAATACTAAAATTTCCAATAGCAACAATTGAACAAATTGCAAAATCATAAATACTATCTTTAATAAGTCGAAAAGTATTTAAACAATTATCACGAACTTCATCAGTAGCATTATATAATCCATCAAAATCATCTATAAAGATTACAATCTTTTTATTCCATTTACTTCCAGCAAAAACATCAAGAAAATCATCAGAAGATATGATTTCTTTATAATCACGAAAGTGATTACTATTATTACGTTGAAGTGATTTGCCTAGATTTTTCCAGAAAATTTTTTTATCATCATTTGCTGTTACATTTAAAAAAGACGTGCTAATTGAAAAAATAAAAAACAATTAGGAAATAATGAAAAGTTGAAAACAAAAATCACGTCATATTTATAAAAAAAAAACAAACTTACGATAAACAAATAAATCCTGCTTTATGTAACTTTTGCATAAGTTGATAAACTCGTGTAGATTTACCAGATAATCGTGATCCCATAAGCATTAAAAACTTGTGACTTCTAATATCATTTAATAATTTATAATTTTCTTGATGTTCTAATGGATCTATAAAATAAACGAATGGTACTTCTTTTGGTTTGATTGATCCATTAATTGCAAACCTTTTTTTACTTAAAATTGGAACTAAATAAATAAATAATATATTAATTGTTATATTATTATTAATATTAAATATCATTATAAAATATTATAAAATTCTTACTTTCTATTTCATCTAATTTATTCCTTTCTTTTTTTAAAATATATTCCAATTCTTCAATTAAATTTGTCATTCGTTCATAATTATCAAAATTTGATTTAATTTCTTCTATTGATGGAAGATGTTTTTTAATAGTTTTAATTTCATTTATTAATAAAGGAAATTGAACTTTAACAGGTATTTCTTCTAAAAATTGAATCTCATTATTCAAGGATTGTGTTGACTGTGTTGATTCTATTGACTGTGCTGATTCTGTTGACTGTGTTGATTGTGTTGACTGTGTTGACTTTGTTGACTGTGTTGATTGTGTTGACTGTATTGACTGTGTTGATTGTGTTGACTGCGTTAACTGTGTTTTAGTAGGAAGTATAATCAATTCTTGTGACTTGGTAGAAAGTTTCTTATTAGATTTTATTGAAGATAAAAAATTTTTATATAAAAATTTTTTAAAATTTTCATTTTTTTTATTTGATAAAGGTAATAAAGTATTATAATCATTTGTATAAAATCTTTTAAATCTTTTTGAATTTGTTATAATATTTAAATTATCAATATTTTTAAAATATTTTCTTTGACATAAAGATATTAATGTTGCCATATTTTTTTCTTAAAATATAAGAAAAAAAAAAAAGAAATTAGTTCTTTATTTTTTTTTTAATAATTATTATTATTAATTATTATATATATTTAATCATAATTTATCATGATTACTTAAAAGATTTTCATAATTAGATAATATAAAATGGATTATCTGTTATAATATAATTTACAGATAATCATTTTACTAATAATTTATTTTACAATATAATTTATATATTTAATTAAATTGAATATAATATAATTAAATAAAACTACAAATTGCAAAAATTTTATATCTTTTGTAAAGTATATATATTTTAAATTTTTGAATACTTTAAATAGCAGTGATCTCATTCCTCATATACTGTAAATATTATAAGGGTTTAATTTTTCTTCTAGTTTTTCTTCTTGATCTTTTCGATGATTTACTCTGATAATAAAATTTCTTTACTGATCTTTCTAAAATACATAGATATAGTAATTTAAAAATAAATTTTGTGAAAATTAAAAAACAGTTTAAAATAATTTGTTAATTTATAGGTTTTGTATTGTAAAATTATAATATATATTTAATTTATGACAGTATACATATAGGCTATTTGATAGCAGATATAACAAAAAGTTTTTTAAATGAGTGGTTCAAAACTGATTCAGAATCAAACTAGAATTGAGAACCAATTTTTTGGTTCTTCAGTTTTAGTTTAATTCAGTTTAATTAAATATGATCATGTGATATTATATAAGTTCAAAAAAAGAAAATTTTGTTCCCATCAAAAACAGATATAGAGTTACACAAATTTTACAAAAGGTAAATTATTTGATTCTAGTCAAAATTATCAAAGCTTATTTTATAGAATTAAACTGTTCAGAACTGCTCAATATTGAATCACTTAGAACTGGTTTAACTGTTTTGTGAAACTGAAACTGAACCAATGCCATCTTTAGATATAACAACTGAAGTAATTTAATAATTAATAATATTGGAATAATAGTTTAGTTTAACTTTGCATTTATATATTAATTAAATTAGCTTATTTTTATTTTAATAAATTATTATATTTATAATAATATTATATTTTAGAAGACTGTTATTAACTTTTTCTTTAAGTAAAAATTATCTAAAGTAATTTTATCTAAATGATTTCATTTATAATTAATTTATTAAATTTATTAAATTTTAATATTTCTTATTTTGTAATTTGCATATAAATTCTTTGTAAATTTTTTAAAACTTTTTGATTAGTTAAATTTTTTTAAATATATAACAAATATGTTTAAATATTTTTACACTAAAAGTTTATAATAATTTATTAATTTTTAATAAATTATATTAAAAAAATAAACTTATACTATTTAAAATACTAAATATTTTGATAGAAATAATGATAAAAAAAAAGAATATGTGAATAAATAAAAGAAAAAAAAATGTGAATGAAAAATAGGAAATTAAAAAAATAAAAAGAAATTAAAAGAAAAATGAAATGGAATAAAGAGGGAGTAAAAGAAATAAAAAAACCAAAAAGATCAAGTGGAAATGGAAAATAAAAAGAATAAAAAAAAATGAAATAAAGTAAAAAGAAAATAAAAAAATAAAAAGAATAAAGAGTAGTATTATAAAGAAATGAAAAAGATGAAGTGAAAATGAATATTAAATAAAAATAAAAGAAATAAAGAGTAATATAAAAAAATGAAAGAAATAAAGTAGGAATAAAAAAAATTAAAAAAAATAAATAAAAAAAAAAATAAAAATAACAGAAAAATGAAGAAAAGGAAGAATAAAAAAAAGCAAAAGAAATAAAGAGATAAAAAATAAATATATTTTAATAATTGTAAAAAAAAACTAAAAAGTAAATTATAAAATATAAGAAATGAAATATAAGAATAAAATAAAAAATAAGAAAAAATGGCTATGTAATGCTGGACATATATATATTAATTGCAAAACTAAAAGAGCTAAAAAATCTAAAAAAATGAAATAAAGTTAGTAAAAAATAAAATGAGGACCCCGGATATCTAATATAAAGGTCATAATGGACTTTTGGCCAAAAACACCCCTTTTTGCTGAAACTCAAAAAATCGTTTTTTGTAAATATATCAGCATCCAGTAATTCAATTTTAATGAACTTTTTTTTATTTTGTAGCCCTCATTTAGCTCTACAATTTAAAAAAAAGTTCATCAAAAGTGGACTACTGGATGCCGAGATATTTACAAAAAACGATTTTTTGAGCCCCTGAAAAATGGGCCAATCTGCCGAAAGTGTGACTTAAGTGATTATCGTACTTTCTCTCCCGTTGGGCTCTGCCCATTTTTTCCCATGAAGTTATGGATGAAAAATATGAGGATTTTTTGCCTTGAGTGATAGTAAAAGGACTTTTCGACGTTATATGAAGTTATTACCAAGGTCTTTAATTTCGCCCGAACTCCTTACGGCTACCGTTATCATGAGTCTTGGAGTTACCAATAATACTGTAAGATGGCAGTTTCATACGAACGTTCCCCTGGGCTTTCTGAAAGGTTGAAAAGTAGTGCGTCTTGGTTCCTACGCCTTTAAAGTCTAACTGGCCAAGTGGTTCGCAGGCCGGACCAGTATTTCTTGGAAGGAGCTCCTGACTAACGTATTTCTTGCTAGTTGATGTTGTTAACGGGGGAGTTAGTCTTCTAAAATAAGGAGACGGAGTTGAGGTGTATGTTTGGTGTTTTTTACTCAGGTTTTTCTCATTGCACTTCGAGTTTTCCTGAGGTTTATGTTTTTATTTTTTGCTTTTTGTTTTTCTTGGTCGCTTTTTTCGGTATAACCTTATTTTCTTTGGGGGGTGGGGGGATACTGGAAAATTTGATCGTCATGGTGGCTTGGTGTTACTAATTTTCAAAATCGATGATCATCTGGGTGATAAGGGGGGTGACAGGTTGGGTACCGCAGTTTTTGTAGTATGCCGATCATGGTGGTCACATGTTGGACTATCATTGGATTGACTTATCTAGGTAGATCTTAGGTCGAAGGATCGTTCGCAATGAGATGGGTGTCCTCCGTTTAGGATCGTTCGCAATGAGGTGGGTGTCCCTTAGGAGATTGCACGACACTAAAAAGTTCCCCATCGGCTGGACTGCACGACACTAAAAAGTTCCCGGAGGTCTTTGTGAAATAGGTTTGTTATCCATAGTATGTAGTCAAATAGGGGAAATTGAATTTTGTGTATTTTTGA